CGAATGCTGGCCTCTCGAGCAGGCAGGCGACGGAGAGGGAGAGGGACAGGGACAGGGACAGGGGGAAGAAAGGGCCGGGACGGGCGGAGCGACACGCCGAGCCAAAGGTCCAGACCGCACGTTGGCACATACGGAGGAGGAGGAGGAGGAGGAGGAGGAGGAGGAGGGGGCAGGAGGGGGAAGGGCACGAAGAGGCGGGGGAGGAGGCGGGGGGGAGGGAGGGGGAGGAGGAGGAGGAGGAGGAGGAGGCGGAGGAGGAGGAGGAGAGGAGGAGGACGAGGAGGAGGAGGGGAGGACGAGGAGGAGGGGGCCCGAGCCAGGCAGGGAGCGGGCCTCCCGGGGGAGGCGGGCCCTGGAACCCCCCCGGGGGGCCGGCCCCCCGGGACGCTCTGCTCCTCGCCCCGAGCCGCTCTGCGACGGTCTCGGGGCCCCGGGGAGGGCCCGGAGCTTAGTGGGCCCACGGCAGGGCCGTTTTTTCGCCGTCTCCCTAAAAATGTCCCTTGAAAATGGGAACGTCAAAAAAACGGCGACCGGAAACGGCAAAAAAACAGCTCCAGGATTGAAACTGGAGCCGGAACCGGTCAAAAAACGGCGACGGAACCGGTCAAAAAGCGGCGTCGGAACCGGCAACAGAAACGGCAAAACGGAACCGGTAAAAAAACGGCCTTGTCGTTTCCAGGCCCCTCTAAGGCCCGGAGCCCTCAAGGAAAGAGCAGACGGGCTCGAGAAGAGGCCGCTGCAGGCAAGCGCCCACGCAGGAAGCCGCTGCAGGCAGCACGCCTGCAGGGCCCGTGCAACGAGGCACCCGACGGTGTGATGCTTCCGTGCGCGGCCCCAGAGGTCCCAGCCCCCACAGCCCCTTCTTCGTGGCCAGCGTCTCGTCCCGGATCCGTGTCCGGTGGCCCCGGGGCCCGGGGCCCGAGCCCTCGAGGGAAGAAATGACGGGCTTGAGAAGAAGCCATATGTCTTCGGAGGTCTGTCGGGCCGGACGAAAGGGGGGATTGGGAAAGGGGGGGTTACGAAATTTGCTGCATGCAGCTGGTTTCGGCCTCGCCGAGGGGCCCATTCCTCGATACATAGCCGCCTCTGGCGCCGGGAGGCGCCGGGAAAATCAGCTACGTGAGCTGATTCTCAACCCCTCCCTTTGCTATCCCCCCCTTTCGCCCGACCCGAGGGCACGCCCGCTTCACGGCGAAGTATGCAGGAGGAGCGCCGTGCAGAGGAGAGTTGGGACGCAGCGCCCGGGAGGGTAGTGCCGGTATCGGCGCTGGAGTACCCCGCCGCCGAAAGCCGGCAGAATCCCGTTGAATCTGGTTCAATCGGGCTGAGTTTGGGCCAAGCCCGGTTTGATCCAGCTCACTAGCCCCAAATCGAGCTGAATGGTTGTGGTAGCCGTTTTTGTTACGCAGACCTCCCATCTGCGACAGCGTGCGAACCTTAAATCACCTCTGCGGGTCCATTCGGCGTTGGGGTATAACTGACACCCCCGCTGGGGCCCACCTGGCTGCAGACAGCCTTGCAATTCTGAACCCCAGCCGGCGTTTTGGAAATCTGACCCACAGGAGCAGGGGCCCCAAGAGCGGCGAGGAACCTCGAGAGGCCTGTTCCGTCAGGGCCCAGACATCTCAGGGCGCCAACATCGCAGAGCGGATTTCGTTCGGAAAACGATGGGATGGGCCCGGAATGTCCTGGAGGATGTTGTTCCGGATTCCGAGGTGAATTTCGTGCGGACCTTTTCTTTGGCCAGGAATGAAGACCCAAACGAACCCACGCGAGATTCACCTCGTGTCTCGCTCGCCGCCGGGTTCACGTGTGAGGCGTTCCAGCGAAAGGGCTCGCCTTCGAGGATCGAAGGAGCCGGCGCCTCCTCCTCGGCGGAAGGCCAGCGGGAAGGCCGCGAGGAGCGGCGCGAGGGTCGCTCCGCCGGCGGAAGCTCGGCGTGAGGCGGCGGAAGGCAGAGCTTGCGCCCCCAAGCGATGGCACGGTGGCAGTGCCTGCGGGACCCGACAGGGGGGCCCACGTGCGAGCCCAACCCCTCCCCCCCACGAGTTCTGAGGGAGAGGGTGGGGTGCCCTTCGTTCGGGGGGTTAGGGGAAGGGTAGGGGTAGGGCAGGGTTCGCATGTGGCCCCCCACCCCAGGGGGAGTGACGGCCGCGCGGCTGCCCGCTCCCGGGATCAGGCGATCGCAAACATGGATTGAGGGGGCGTGGATGAGCGGCGGGTCCCGTTTCCATGTGAGATCGCGGATTGCCGCCGCCGAACGAAGCGCCACCGGCCGCATTTGGGGGAGGGCACCTCCCCCCATCCATGGATTTGATTGGACCGCGCGCCAAATCCATGGATCGCTAATCCATGTTTGCGCGCCCCCGACAGGAGCTGCCTCCCGGGGAGGGAGCCCCCCGCAGGCCGCGGCCGACCCCCGCCCGAAAAGCAGAGATGATGGGCCTCTTTTACACCACCACCACCACCATAAGTTGGAGGGGGAGGGGTCCTCCTCCTC